AGTAACCTAATGAGAAGAAATCTCCTTACTGATTTACCAAATTTGAAAATTATTTTCGTTATCCTCCTGCTAAACGATTGTTGGAAACACATGCGTTGCAGTACTATTGAAGGTTCTCTTTATCCCTAGGATAAACTAGAATCAGAATCAAGGGCATCGGCTGCTCATTTCTGTACTTGTAAAGTTTGTCCACTTTTTTGTACGAAAATATTAGGCCTACGCAATCAAATTATAATTTTGGTTTAGGTGAATTGTGTAATTCACAAAATTTAATAATGATAATATTGGAATTTATTCTAATCTTTTATTTTAAATATCTTATTGCTTCCTCCTAAGTAATAAGGACCTTACTTTTTTCCAAATATCATATTCGTTTAACTAGCCTACGTCAATAATTGAAAACGTTTTAATAGTCTGAAAAATGTTTTTGTTATTTGTTGGAGATTGTTCGTTTGTTGAAGACGATTCCACTTAATTTTGCTTAAAGGTTTTTCTGGACAAAATATATACAGTATATATTTATCTATAAACTTTAAACAAGATATATTTCCTCTGTAACATCCCTTTCACCCGTCCTACTTCACTGATTTTTACAATTTTGATGTCATTTTATAGCCATTTTATCTAGCGGAGGGACAAGGGGTAGCTAAATACCCCCGCCGCAGCAAACCTGCCGTCTAAGTGAATTTCGATTTGCCTGAAATGATTTTCCATTAATCTATTTAAATAAATTAGGTTTAACGAGTACCTAGTTTTGCTGCAACAAGGAAACTAATAAAGTGTGTTTTTAAGTAAAATAATTATAACTAAGTTAAAAATCTATAAATTTGCCAAGTTTTATTAAAATATATATATATAAGCAAGCAAACTACAACGTTTTGCAATATTCTCCATAAGAATAACATGGGAATTTTATATTAACAATTTTTGGACCTTTCTCCGTAACCAATAACCGTACAAAACACTTTGATGTACTGAATTATTTTTTAAGCTCATTAAGAAGGTAAAGAGAGAAGTTGGGGAATTTTATGTTTTGAGGGTCAAAATGAGAAAACATATTTTAACTCATAAAACCCCATTCCCATGGTCCGATCATGCTGGTTCGCGAACTCATTCAAGTTTATCCCGCCTTATACACCTTCAAAACCAAATTTCATAAAAATCGGACAACATTTACTCAAGTTATCTTGTTCACGGAAATCTATATATATGTGTGTATATGTACAACATATATACAAATTTAAACGAATTGTGTTTTTGGCCTCTGGGGACAACCAAATAAAAAAAGTAAATCTGTCCCGCGCGTAGGTCTTACCGTGCTACCTACGGTAATAGCTACTTCCGTATATGGAAATTTACTAAGTCATTTAGTTTAGGGCTTCGCCCCCCCCCCCCTTAGCCTTTGGTTGATTTCTAGAGTTCACATTCAAAGATCCATTGATGCTGGCCGACTTTCTTTATAACGGGGTCAGCTGTGAAATGTAATCAGCTGATCGTTCGGTTGAATGTTTAACCACAGATAGGTTGTAAACAAGAGACAAAACAGTTTGAAACAGGCTTCTTTTATTGATGACCGTGTCTTTGTTGAGGTAGGTATATCACTGTTTAAGCTGTAGATTTACAGTATAATCAAGTTTGCAAATTAGTACCCTGATTTTATTCACCCAATACTGTTCAACAAAACATTATCTTTGAAAAGAAAGAATGGCTGCACTTTACTTTAGGTCCTACACTCATTCGAATGAAAATATTGATTATTCGTAGTCAATTGTTTCCTTCGATATATCTTTTGGTTAGTTAGGTTAGATTAACCTTACCTAACTAACCAAACGATATATCGAATAATCGATATATCGATCGACATTTTCATTCGAAAGATCGCAGGACCTTAAGTAAAGTGCAGCCAAGATAACATTGGTTTTAGACGTTTGTCACTAACAAAATAGTGTCATTCCTCAGTAAACGGCTTTTTGTTTATAGTTATATATGAAAAAATATCCCCCTATTTTTAGAGTTAAAAATTATAAAGGGAAACGATTGATAATATTAGCTTAGTAAATAGTTAAATTTGCTTAATGAATGGTGCAGTTTCAAAAGAAATATGCCGTGTTCCATATCACAGTCCAAAAGTGTATTTTTGATTCTAAATAAGTTTGTCCTTGATTCGAAAAGAGACATTGCGCCCTAGTGATGAGGGACACTTCAAATTGTTTAATATTTTATAATATCTTTAGTTAAAATTTGTCATAATGTTCGGAAATTGTACTTCAAATTTACAAACGTGAGTTTGTAAAACAAAACTTAACAATACATATTTAACCATATCTTAATCCAAGATAGTTATTAATTTGCAATCGGTTCCAGCTATTTCGTAACGTTAAGGCCTACATTTCTTGGAAGCTGCTACAATAGTACGAACTAGAATTCTTGCGTACGAGGTTTTAATGAGGCACATCCTCTGACGGATTTATTTCTAAGAAAGGCTCATAAAGCCACTGATTAGACGTTTGCACATCTAAATTCACTTGGAATATAACCTTGATAATATTGTCCACCGAAAGATTTGGTCTCTTATATAATCTCTTTCTACTTCTGTAATATGAATTTTTTTGTAATAATTGTGTTTATTATTGCGAGATCATCTATAATCTATGATTTTCAATACATTTTAAAGGGAGTCGAGAATCTTTAGCACTTTTGAATAACTTTTACTGGTATTGAACACGATTAACCCAACTTAGAATTTTATTTAAGTAGTTTTCATAGAAAGATAATTACATGTTGATGGATCCTGAATTTCTTTAATGGTTACTAGTAGGGTTTTTACTGTTTATGAACCTAATTGAATTAATTGTAAAATTAGCCTATATCAGCAGACCCCAGTTGACTCTCTTGGTATGTAGATATTTATAAATTAACAATTTTACTCGAATTCGGTGTGTAGCTATTACTGTAGGTAAGTCCTGGACCCGTGACCGATTTATTTTTTTCATTTTGAAGTCTCCAGAGGCCAAAAACACAATTCGTTCAAATTCATATATAACTCGTTAGCACGATAACTCGAGCAAAAATGGTCCGATTTTGATGAAATGTGGTATAAACGTGTAAACCTACTTTAATTCGATCGAGTTTGCGAACCAGCATGATCGAACTATGGAATCAGGGGTTCATAGGGGGTTTATGGGGTTTTCTCATTTTTCACCCTGAAAACTAAAAAGTTTGCAATTTCTTTCCAAACCATTCTGTACAATTAAAAAAACAAATAATCTAGTATATTGAAGCATTGGTTTTGATAGAAAAAATTCTTCGACAATTGATAAAACTTCAGTATGCCAAAGTCAAAGGTACAATTTAGCAACACATTTTGTTACTTCATATTTTTCTAAAGCGTAGCTTATGAATATTTGGTATCTTAGTATATTGATGTCTCTCTATTTTCCACTAGACTTTTTAATCAATCTTCTCGATTGTCAATATAAGCATCCCGTTCCTGTTTCCATATTAAATTGCGAAACCTTCCATGATTTTTTTGTTTCTTGCGTGAGAAAGGAAACGTAAAAAGTGAGATTCAACCAGCCAAACAAAACAGCAACCCGCATACGAGCTTCCGCTGTGCTGTCTTCAGACAACAATCACCTACAGTCAGTAAAGTGGAGAGCGAATAAAGCAATGATTTGAAAATAATTTTGAATACAACTGTTCAATGAATCTAACAAAAGTCACATTACGATAAAAGTTAAATGGCTTACATTAGATGGCCTTAGTCAGTAACAATTAAAAAAGCCCTTTTTAGCGAATTTCCCATATAGGGAATAAGCTATTACCGTAGTACTCATGGTACTATACCTGGACGCGGGACCGATTTTTTTTCGTTTTGAGGTCCCTAGAGGCCAAAAACACCATCCGTTCAAATTCATATATATATATATATATATATTTATATGTTTATATATTTATATATTTATATATTTATATATATATATATATATGTGTGTGTGTCCGTTAGCACGATAACTCGAGCAAAAATGATCCGATTTTGATGAAATTTGGTACAAACGTGTAAACCTACGTTTATTTGAACGAGTTCGCGATCCAGCTTGATCGGACCATGGGAACGGGGGTTTACGGGGGGTTTTATGGGGTAAAAATAGGTTTTTCCCATTTTTTACCCAAAAAACATAAAATTTAGCAATTTCTTTCCACACCATTTTGTAGAGCTTAAAAAAACAAATAATTTAGTATATTGAAGCGTTGTTATGCGCCTAATGGTTACGGAGTAAATTCCAAAAAAATGTAAATTTAAAATTCCCATGTTATTCTTATGGAGAATAAGTAAACTGTTGTAGTTTGCTTGTTTATGAACATATTTTGATCAAATTTGGAAAATGTTTTTATTTCTTACTAACTATTAACATTTACAAAAAAAAAGTTTTACCCTCCCTGATGCAGCAAACCTAAGTACTTGTTAAACTAATTTCTATTTAAATAGGGAATAAATGTTATATATTTAAGTAGACATTTCTGTGTAAATCCAATCAGACAAATGGAAATTCGCTTAGTCTGCAGGTTTGCTGCGGCGGGGGTATTTCATATTCAGCTTAAAATACTGTATCCCACAACAATGGATCTTTCACAATGTACACAGCTGTCTTAACAAAGTCATTATACATATATTGGAGTCATTATACATATATATATTGGATATTGTTGTTTTAATTTAATAGTCAAATGCTTTATTAACATTCTTATTTTTAATTTATGGTTGGAATAAAAGATAAAATAAAACCAATGTGGTCAATTAATGAAATCAAACTTTGACTTATGTTTATCTTCAATATATAAATTAAAAAAAAAAACGCTATGCAGCTAACAAAATTTGATTTGATATAGGAAACACAGGTAAATAGATAATATAATATTTTATTTTACTCCTAAAAACGATTATTGATATTTAAAAACAAGTTTGCAAGGATAAAAATAATTCTTAAAAACACCACAGCATTTAAAACGAAAAAGTTTATTTAAATAACAGTTGAAACAGACTACAACTACAACATTAAAACTAATTCACACTAATAATTACATCAGCTCGCATATTTAAGGCTGAAAATAAAATACCAATAATGACAAGAAATAAACTTAAAGCAATAAATAACAGCTGGCAATTAATTATGAATGCCCAAAAGAAGAAAATAATAAGACAAAAGTGAAAACATCACTATGGAGTGATTCTTCCTAAAACAATAAGTAACCATTTATTTTCCGATATCATTGGAGATATTATACAACTAGTTTAAACAAGATTAACTCATCAAAAAAAAAAATAATTAATCAATAAACATTTCAGAAATATTAAGAAAGTCATTGTGACAGTGCAATTCAAATATTTACAAAATGCATCAAGTTGAGAAAAGTATTCCGATATAATAGATTTTAATAGATAAATTTTAATATCTTGCCCATAGTCTCAAAATATGTACACGTTCTAAAACTAATCTAACAGTAGCAATACTGAAACATAACACACAATTTGAGAGCCAGTTGAAAAACTTTGGAAAACCGAACTTCTCGAAATGAATTCTCCAAGTTTGACTTAGATTTGGTGTCGACCTGTCGGTGACGTATTTACACATAATGTTGTTTATTCTTATTCTTCTTTTGCCGGGTTTACCACGTCGACGAGGTCTTTCTCACTTTCATCCATGTCTTTGTCTCCCCATCCCCAAACCTGTAAAAAACACCGAATAAAAATATTGCATTCAGGAAGAAATTATTACAAAAATATACTAAACTAGGCTTGGTTAAGTATGCTTATCAAAATGATGTTTTACAATTAGGCCATTAATCACGAGCTGACCGTAATAATATATGTTTAGAGATCTAATATAAATATATTTTTACATATCAATATGCATAGTGAGTTTTATTAAAACATTGTGGAAAATTGTAGTAGAACTTTTAACTAAGAATTTCACTCACAAAAAAAATTTAAAATAATTTTTTAAACCATGATACTAGATCGCTATACTCCAAACAATGACATATTCCAGCAAAATTATATTTCAGACATGTACGTTGAGTGTTTTTATCTTACAAAGAAACTCAATATACGCATTTCTTCAACTAATATTTTTTTGTTTAGATTTTGTATGTTGTATGTATAATAGATATTATGTAAATATGTAGATCGGTTTGCCAGTAACTTCAGCCAGGGGCCGAACCAGGGACTATAGAATACTATATACTCTACTGAACCACCTCCAGGCAATATTATATAGATGAGAGCCACTGGCGATTAGCGGTGATCGAACCCAAGTCACCATGACAGAAGTCCCTCGCTTTACCTACCAGACCAACCAACCGCAGCCCTATACAGTATTTTACTTATTCCCTTGTCTATGGCCTTACATTCTTCAACTCAAGAAAATGCATTACCCATATGCAATGATACATAGTTTTTGTTTTACAAACTTTGGTACATTGAAATTGTCACACACCGTACAATTATATTTCAACCCCTATCCCCTTTATATATTTAGTAAGATCTGTACCACATGCAAATTAAGTGTAATTAATTATCTACATGACATTTTTAATTTCGGCTTTTGTTTTTAAGGTTACTTAGGTTAATTTGTCCTTTAAAATATTAAATATTTCCCTGCCTAGATTGCACATTAAACACTTTTACTTTGACCACTATAGACATACCAAGAACAAAACAACCTGCGCAGAAACGAAAAGATCACGTGGTTCGCGCCGGTAGATGTGGCGTACCATTCAAACCTGCGCGGCTCGAAACGGCCCAGGGTTCTTTTGTTTCTGGTATTACTATAGCCACTTTTTATGTCCCATTAGGCTGTAAGGGCATCCTAGGACGCTAGGTTCTAGATCAGAACTATTTTACATATTACTTCAGGCTATTCCTAGAGGGTTGCGCCATTATCACTTAGATAAAATCCATTGATTTGCGGTATTTGAACCCAGGACCTCAGAAACTGAAGTCCCAGCTTTAGTACTAGACAAGTTTGTCCCCTTACTTCGACCACTATTCCCTATTAAGTCTTTCGTAATACTCGGATCCAAAATTTGATTATTTAATTATTTAATTACTTTTCTTTTTACTTAGTCGATTTTCTACTTATTTACCAGATACCCCAATCCACAACACTTAGCACTACCCAATCCTCACCTCGCCCTCATGACTGTGCTCATGGCTGATCTTATGACTGCCGTCTCCTGTCCGCAGGATCCTCTTCCTCACTAGCTCGTCAGAGGCCTTTTTCAGGTCATAGGCCAGGCCCAGCCTCGCACAGACGTCCAGGAACATGGTGGTGAAGTTGAGGGTGTAGTTGCCCAGCTCGGCAGCCTTGTAGTCCCAGGGAAACGCGTGATGGTAGTTGTGCCATCCTTCGCCCAGAGCGAGCAGAGCCACGGACGCGTTCTCTGTCGGGCTGATAGTTCTGGAGGGAAAAGTCACATCGGTTATTGAAGAGTTACTGTGTGACGTTGTCTTACAGTTTTAGTATGGTTAAAAGTCCTAACTACCTGAACAGCTTGAAAGTTTCTCAATTTGACAGGGATCTGACAAAGGTTTTGGATACCAGAGGATTCATTAGATCTATTTATTTTTGCTTGTCAGCTCTAATGTACAGTGAGGTGTTTTGAGTATCCCTACCTTTTAACATCAATCTGAATATTTATCTCAATTCTAAATCACACAAAGATCATATTAAAAGAGCAACAACACCGACTTAAATTATTTGAGCAAATGCAATAATGCTAAATTCAAGCTGCTTCAAACATAAATGGTCATCTTTAGTGTTCACCGTATATTCAAAATACAAAAAAAATTACAAAATTGTTTCCTATTGTAATCCTTAATTTTAAATTTATGTTCATAAATAGTTTTTGCTATGTACACATTTTCCACGTGTATAGCTCAATAAACCCAAGTACAATAAATTTTGAAATAAATCCTAATTCATCGACGTTAAACCACGCCAACTATTGAACATCCTATACTTTCTGGTGACTTTACTTTACTTTTTTTTTACTTTCTTTTACGACTGACCTGTCGTAAGGTTTCATGCCCCAGATGTGAGCAGCGCTGTTGACAAGCCATGTTCCGTTAAGACTCAGGGTGTACCGCAAGATGTTGAGGTTCCATGCCGTCCAGAACGATTCGCCCCAGAAATGCATGGGTATCCAGGTGGGCAGCGCGAAACAGCAAATAGGCAGCAGGAGCAGATATAATCTGCAACATGAATAAAGTGACTCGTGGTAATCTGCAACTGAGGGTATTACATGAAATTGTTCAAATTGGTGGTCTGCATTGGAAAGTGCATGAACCAATTCATGATAAAAGGATGTATATAGAAAATGATAGTGTTGTAAGGAATGCATGATGGTCTGCAGCATTAAGCGGTAAAAAAATGTTATATCTGCAAAGGGTATTGCATTAATTGATTCATAATTTCTTATACAAGGGGTTGCATAAGAGAATTGCAATAATCTGCAGCAATGAAGTGAATAGGAAGAATGAAGCAATTCTACAATGAATGTTAGTACATAAAAACGTAATGAAATTTAATATTTGAATAAGGAAATTTAATAAGGAGAGGAAGTGAAACCATAAACAAAGCTAGTAAATGAGAAAGCAAGGACAAGTTAGGAGAGCAAGGATGGATTGGAACTAAGTTGTAAATAAATTAGAAGGAATGTAGAAAAGGAAAGCAAGGGTGTTAAATATACGAAAGATAGTATCAATAAAGTGTATACAATCGTGAAAATTATACATAAGGATGGAAAGAATGGTCTGAAAAAAGTGTAAAAGATTATGAATGCTATTGGGGGTTAAATGTTCAAAAGTGAGTAAGTTCTCAATAATTTAATATTGAGATGATTTTGATCGCCGGCCAAGATTCGACTACTTTTAATAATGATGTTTTGTGTTTAACTGAGTCACTGTGTTCGGAGGAAAGGTAACGCTTTATAAAATTGTTATTCATAAAAAGTCATCGTAGACGGAATTTCACACATAATTGTAGACCATTCCTCAGCAGATTTGATCGGTGATGAATCCAATGAAAAAATTAGAAACCTCAATATTAATTGGTTCACCTTAGTAACGAAATAATTCATGGTTCCCCAAAACAAGTGAAAATACTTATTTAAATGGTTATTTGTATAACTAGAGGGAGTTTGCACTCGTGTTACACATTATATTTTTCGTACAGTTATAATGAATCATATGAATCTTTCAAACACTGTACGACAAGTTTTTAGGTTAGGTTAAATCCAAACATTGAACGAAATGGGAAACGATGCACCAGCTGATCATAGTCGTAGTATCTTTAAGTGTTGCCAACCTATTTCCAAGCGTACACGGATTACATGCATAATAAAAGCTCGCTGTTTTGTTTTGGTTGGTTGTAATACTGGTGTGCGACAAAGTAAAAACTGTGCTACAATGTAAAAAGTATGCGGCAAAGTAAGTAAATGCAACAATTAGCAGCTTTCTAGTACAAGGAAGCCAACTTTGTCGGATTACTGTAAGAAAAATGTAATTTATTCTACCAATATTTAAAAACCTCAATCGTCAATCTTTTAAAATGTTTATCGCCAACAGATTGATAGTGGCTAAATAACATTAAGGCAAATCTATGTTTATTCGTAATACTCATTAAAAGTTAAACTCGTAGCGATTATTCCTCAGCATATGTTTGTTAAGTATTTACAGCTCCCGGTCGAGTTATTCTCGTGTCGGATGGCTCTAGTTATAAATAATGAGGCCTTGGAAGTAAGTAAACAGTTTGACCCTTGGCTATGGAGCCCTTTCACCAAAGTGCGAGATATTGGAGTACTTTCGTTTAAGTAATGGGTCAACAATCTGAAGGATGTTTCTTTAGTGAGTCGGGTTCATGCAATCGCTGCAGGTCCTGAAGGTAAAATACAACAAAGGATGTTCAAGGATCTATGGTACAACTTTAAAGAGTTTGCGTCGAAAGTTTTTGAATAAAGGAGACCAAGCTGATTCTGTAAAGATCGATTTCTCTACTCGATTGAAATATCATTGGAGTATCAATTATCGACGCTTTTAAACAACAGATTTGGAGGAAATAAATCTTACAATTTAATTTCAAACATGTTCAAGCCTTTGGCGTTGACAAACACAATGTAAAAATATGTCCAATGTAGACTGGGACGGGTGGCGTCGTCTTGTAATCCAGCTACTAGGAGGTCACGAATTGTGGATATTTATAGGGATGCACTGTGGATGCGATGCTCCCTGGTGTGGATTAACGTCCGCACTAGTGAGTACTACGACTATCCGCAGTACTATCCTGATAATTAGACCAATTTGTAAATTACAAGGAAAAATGTGGTTCGGATTCCACTATAAACTGTAGGTCCCTTAGTTGCCATTAGCTGTATGGGCTATTAATTAACAGCTGTGTCTAAGGAACATGTCGGCCTTAGTCACTAACAAGACTACAAGATCGCGCCACTCATCCTACACTCATCCTTCACTCATATTTGGGTTAAAATACGCACATAGTGGCGTCCCCATCTTAACTAATTGATAATTGATAATTGACAGTAGTGCTTACGTAGTACGGTTTGCTAATTTTCAATGCAATTTGACAGAGTTTACTGTATTATAGTAATCTCCAAAATTGTGATGTACCACACAGGACTTAAAGAAACCGCTAAATTACTTTATTTAAATGGCGTATATTTTATTTATATGCACTGGAGTTTTATATTTCAACCTTTTTTATAGTTGTAGTCGTAATTTTTAGATTTTTCTACGTTATTGGTGTTTTTACCTAGTTTTGAAACTAGATCGCTCCAAATCTTGTTACCATCTAATTTGATATTTTGTTGGACACCATAATTCGATAGCCCAATGGTAAATAGGACCAGAATCTTATCCATTTGGGGAACCAGCTGCCCTCATATATTTCAAAGACATCACCATAGCCGGTTGACTGACGAATAATTTAATTGCATTAGTATTTTGTGTACAGCAAGGTGTATAGCTTGTTCCTAGCACTCACCGCCTCTGCCACACCACCACCCAGTCCTTCTCCAGGTCGGTCATGTCGACCGTCTTGCCCCTGACAATTACATCCTTGTGCTTGCGGACCATTAGCCAACCCATGTGTGAGAAGAAGAACCCCCTCCTGGAGTTGTGCGGGTCGGCGTTGGTGTCGGTGAACTTGTGGTGAACACGGTGGTCGCGAACCCACTCGTAAATGTGGTTCTGGAAGGCCACTGTCTGGAAGAAGGCCAACAGCAGACGTAGAGGCCATTTTGCCTTGTAGGCCTTGTGTGCCCATAGCCGATGAGCGCCTGCTGTGATGCCTAGGCCGCAGACGAAGCCGACGGACATGCCTGCAACAGAGATCAGGATTTGTAACTCTACTTTGTACAATTTCAGCGTTGAGGCTACTTGTAAGTCTCGTTTGCCCAGAAATGATAGGTTCTGGTTGCTAGTACAATATTTACATTTTCAAATACCCTTTGTATGAAGGCAAAGGTCCATTGCATCTTCATGTTAAATCTGTTTCCAGTTTTATGATAAACATTAGCGTAGCAGAGCCTGAGGCCGGCAGCTCATTTTTTGACAAACCGGACTGGGGGAAATACCTATTGCAAAATACAGTACAACATATTTTATATAGCACCTAGATCATAGCATCAAATACTGAGGGAGACAATAGAATTTTGACAGCACCACATCCAACTGTGATTTTTTCAACAAAAATGTTTCACAGCTAAATAAACTAAATGTCACTTCAGTGTAAAAAATAAATCAAGTAACAAATAAGTTGATGTTTCCTTTTACCTGGAAAAAGATTGATGCTTACATTTTTAGCTTAATCCTCCTAAGAAGTAGACAGGAAGACATTCAAATGTTTACTCCTTTACAAATGCACGTTTCTACCTGACATGTTATTCCAGGCTCATTCCTGAATCAGTGACAATTCCATGAATCATTCCCATTAGAATCTAGGACGAGTTAGAGGGAGACTGGCTCGTCATTCCCTCGTACTGGTATTTAGTCACTTCCGGTAGAGGACATTTTTAAATTAGCACAACCGAAACTAGCTATTGCGAAGCATACAGTTAAAACGATTACTATAGTTCGGCCGCTTAGAAAGCGACCTCCTCCAGCATTGGTTTAGCATTAGCGCGCAGGTCGTTTTCTAAGCGGCCGAACTATAATCATGTATTTTATATATGGCCAACCACAAGAGAAACAAACATTTTTGAAATAGATTGTTAACATCAAAAAAAGGCGCCAAAGGTAAACGCGAAGTTTGGTTGAACATCAAAAACACTTAATTGATTTCCTCTATTAAGTGCTGAATATTTTACGCCATCCGTTTAGCAGGTTATGAAATATTAACTTAAATTATAAATGCAGAACAATTAACGCACAGTATCAATTGATCAATTAATCTCTGATGTACGTAAATTACGTAAAATACAAACAAAATTTCTATCCAGCATTTGACCAAATTTGTCTGTTTCCAAACCATTATATTTTTTTGAAAACGATGACTTCATTTTTAATTTTACGCAAATTTATGTGTGTTTACGAGTATGTGGAGCGAGCTGTTCTAGTGGTAGAGTGCGGGGCCTCGGTACCTGTGGTCCCAAGTTCGAATCCCGCCAAATCACCAATGGATTTTATACCTAAGTGATAACATCGCGACCCCCCTCTAGACCTAGCCTCAAGTAATGTTGAAAACGATTCCGGGCAAAAACCTAGAAGAATGAAAAAATCATTTTTAAAATACATGCATTGGAAATAAGTTCAACATTATCAACAACACGCAAAATTTGAGAAGAAATAATTGTTTATATTTTGTAGACCGTGATACACTTCAGCATATCAGATTATTTTCAACCTCAATGCTTTCTGATATTATCTTTGACGGGATTGCTATCAAGTGTTTTTAACTTTTGTTACATAAAGAAACGCTCGCTTTCTAAGATCGTGTAATGCTATTAACACGAGAGAGTTTTCTGTTTTGAGTATCCCAAGTTTAAACACTGAGTAATATTTGTGGAGAGCGTCTCCCATCTGTACAACTGTTTGATCGGGCTGTGTTTGTGATGCAAGTTGCCTAAGTAAGCAATAGCTTCGCTATACCTATGGTATGTGCGATACCTGTCCCCACAATAGTGGCGATTGTTTTGGAATTGGGTTTTTGTTTTTTGAACTCTCCATTTGTGTCTATCATTAGTTTTCTTTGCCATTATACTCGAAAACAGACTGTATTGACAAATGTATTTTTATACTTACTGAACAGTAGTGTGAGTGGATGTACTCTCCCAGTTAGGAGGAGCAACAGGCCATACACGGCGGCTCCGTGGAGGTAGATAAAGGCAGCCACGTTTCTCCACACTATTTCCCAGTGGTATTCTGACTTGGGGGCGGCGGGGGTGGTTGTAGGGGCGGGGGTGGGCACGGACTTGATGCGGAGTTTCTCAGGAACAATCTTCTGTTCAGGGCAGATCTCCGCCCCCGCCAAAAACAGCGAGGTTGGCGATCCTGTTACGTTTGGCGCCATACTGCTCAATGCGCTCACTGTAACAATAATTTGAAAACGTTAAAATTAAATAACTAGAGTCCTTGATTATAGATCTTGTACACATAATATAATACCTTTGACTATTAATACAACTTCAGTATCAAATAGTCAATGATAATACGTACAAAACGTTGAGTAGTTATCATACTGAAGGGGAAATAATGCGTTTTACGTTTACTATCTCAGTGTGGATTATGGTGTGGATTATTGTGCATTAGCATTATAAATTAAGATGGGGACTTCAACTTACCCAACTAACCCCACCTCTCTCCCGGGCCACCACCTGGATGCGTATCACAAAATGAGTGGAGGATGAGTGTATAACTATCAAATGTTTGATCGATTAATTGATCCTTGTAGCTTTGTTACTGAAGATCAGCTGTTTCATCAGTCAGGATCATTTATTTAAAGCTCAATAATCAGGAACAGCTGATGGGTTCGATTTCGAACCATCAAAACGTTACACTTTTCTCAGGATCGTGTTTAATGCCTCCGATTTACCGACGAGTATTAACATTTGTTTAGATAGCTACTTCTATAAGAAGCAATTTATAGGTAGCTGAAACGCTGTCAATAGCAATTTGAGTCACACTTAGTAACTAGGCGCCGAATCGTTGCCAATTTTAGGCCGTACGGGGGTGTTGGTCGTCACCAAAACCAGAATCGCGATCGCACTCAAGGTGTGTGAACCCTTTTTTAGTATGACAAATAAATTCACGGGAGAAAACACTACGAAAAATCCATTAAAATGTACTAAACGTTTGCGAATTCAATACAAGTTCCTCAAAATATGTTTTAATGAAAAACCAATATGAATATTATGTCATAACGTAGAGAAACAATTAAATATATAAAGTAAAAAAATCTCGAACAAAGTTCATGTAAATTATTTAATGTCATTAAATTTCGTGGGGGTAAATCAGTCTGATAAAATTTGACGAGGGTTTCATAGATTAGTTAATAAGGAAAACACACAATAAAGTACCTAAGTAAACTTTAAGAATTTATTACGGTCTGGAATTATATGTTGTAAAAAATATTCAAGTGGAAGCTTTAGTAGATTAAAGTTGGCCACATATTTTCACGGAAATCTAAAATAAACTATTTGAATTAACTGACATTTTTTGACTAAGTAAGATATATTTTTTTAAATTGTGCCTTAAATTCAGTAGCGTAGTTCTAATTATATAATACGTGCCATATGATAAAAATGACTTTGGTACTGTACATCTTTAAGATTTTAGAGCATTCATAAATATTTATTGCAATCATTACTTAGCACTATTACTATTACTGTTGAGAATAATGAAGAATACCAGAAAATAATCGACGAAAGAATCCCCGTACCGACCACACCGCAGACCACATTACGATACAGAACAATGGAAGTAAATTTAGGCCCTACACAACCGCATTTGCTAAAACACATGTTGATGATGTAAAAGGTAATAATTAGAGTCATTAAAACATTCAGTCTATATGCTGTGAAAAGTTAATAAAACGAGCTCTTCTCGAATAAACTATAACTGCATCGCCAATAGTTAAAAATTAGAACATTTTGTAAGTTATTATTTCATGTTTTGGACAGGATTTGCAAATACATTGTTGTAAAAGAGGTATTTGCTTCATAATCATTATAGTTAAAATAAAATAACGAAAACTCTCAATAATATTGTTCAAGGACATTGTAAAGGTAAACAGTGCTAAGAACATTGCAATTTTAATATTCAAAAACTGTTTGTTATTACATACAAATAATAGTTACCTAGTCATAAATCTTATAGATGAAATCGTTGCAAGGGAAACACATAACATTACACATGTAACCACTACATAAAACAAACATGTACTGCAGACAAAGCCTTGTTAACTTTGTATTTAAATCATCCCTGTAACTTGAAACAAATTACTAAAACTTTCCTAGGGTCAAAAGGAAATAACCGGTGATTTTTGCCAACGTTAATTGCCAGTCGGCAATAATTAGTTAGAAATAATAAACAAACAATGTCATATAAAATGTCTAGAGTATTGGGTAATCACGTAATTAGAATAGTAATTATTAACCAAAGGATATGTAATATATTATATGAAATAATGGATAGTTTTGCTCAAGGTTTCTCGTCATGACGATCATTTTAAGTATATGGTTTATGGGGGTGTGACTTGTAGTTTTCTCAAAAGTTCATGGGTACCTTGGGATTTATGGATTAAGAGTGATTCCGCAGAAATGCAGGACAATTGGAAAATATTTTTCTCTCGGTATAGAGGAAATATCCACTAATTTGCAGTGCCAATAATTTTGTTTGTGGGGAATTAAAATCTTCTTGTTGAAAGGGGAAACAAGTGACTAAACTAGCCTGAAGAAATATCGGTGGATTTCCAGTACCTTAATAATTCGATTCCCAATAACAATTACACATAGATTAATCAATTACTCATTAAAGTTAATTGGTAAATTTGTACAAGTAAATTCAACCGTCAACAACTAATCTGACAGCCTTGACCGCCTCAATAGAACTTTGAAATAACATCAACAAAATATTATTCTTTACTGTCCAAGAGGCACAACAAGAAGTGTTTATCAGGTAGGTAAGGAGTTAATGATACTGCAACTATATCAAATAATCTGTTCAACAGGTTGAAATGTTGTACAAAATCTGATTAGAAGTGAAACTTTCCCTTAAATGTACAATGTTATATTCTAGAGTTTGGTAATAACATGTTAAGGTTTGGAAATATCCGAGGAATTCCCTAGTACTGTACAGTTTGTAAAGATTAGCAAATATACACGTAGAAAATTTTGAAAATGATTGCTTCAACCGTCTAGAAGGACTATTTGTATGACAAAACGCATAAGAGTCAATGTACGTAAGAGCTTCCACTCGCTTCACTCAATTATGCCCCAGATAGTTCACTTTAAATCTAAAATAGTATATTTCGTACCTAGGGCCGAAAATGAGGTTTTGCCGGCTCGAGATAGTTTTTAAATCGAGCGAGAGCTGTAAAACCATTTCGGTCCGTGGTACGAACGCTATTTTTCGCCACAATATACCCTATTACCACTATTCACCACTATAATAATGCACACTGATAGTCAAGACAACTAAAACTTTAAGGTTATGTGAAGAAATAGTTTGAGGAATCAGCAAAAATAAAAATAAATATTTGCTAGGCAACGGTGACAATCTTTTACTTATTTAATACGCAAGCAGGATTTTTGTGACAATTACTCCTCCGAAACCACTGAACCGATTGACATGTTTTTGGTGTCATTGGAAAGAGCATACCGTGAAGTTGTGCAGGAAACTTTCTTTTTATGGAAATAATTAGAGGGTGAGGCCCTGGGGCCTTTTAATGTTTTGTATTTCTCCATAAGATTAACATGGGAAACAAATATTGTTATGAAACTCCAGCTATTGTCAGAAATTAAAAGTGAGAAGAAGGACATATGTTTATTGTAAACACAGTCAATAAGTTTGCTAATTTAACGGTTTGCTACAAACATTTACGTACTTAGTTGAAATAAAATAGTTACTATTTGAATTTGGGTTGGCGTAAATATTACAATGGAAAAAAACGAGAGAGCCTGGATAAATTGTTATACTATAAAAGAGAACTGAATTAACACTGTGCTGCATTTCTTAGTAATCATTGAAGAGCCGATTTGCAAACTATGGAAACATAAAAAAAGTCATAGAACACCACCAAGGATAAGAAATAGAAATGATGTGTTTTTTCATATATAATCGTTATTATGGACAACCTAATGCGGCTATGAGTAAGGCTATATGTAGAAAACACTAAAAAAATCACCTTTTGAAAAATGATAAGATATTTACAAGAAATGTTGATTATATCGATCTGTTTTGTACGTCTTGAGTATTCCATAATCTTTGAGTAGAATCTTTTAAAGTCATCAATAGTATATTTCGTACCAAGGGCCGAAAATGAGGTTTTGCCGGCTCGAGATAGTTTTTAAGTTCGAGACGAAGTCGAGAACTTAAATCGATCGAGAGCTGCAAAACCATTTCGGTCCGTGGTACGAACGCTATTTTTCACCACACTACCACTATTCACCACTATAATAATGCACATCGTCAACACAACTACAACTTTAAGGTTAAGAAATAATTTGAGGAATCAGCAAAAATATAAATAAATAGTTGCTAGGCAACGGTGACAATAACACAATTCTATATTGCAATGCTACGGATTTTGATTGTGTATTTAAAACGCATTCATGTTCTAAGTAAGTAAGCGGACAGCTGATTTTGCGGCCCCGGCCTGTAAAAACCTGCTCGGTCCCCAAATTGGCGACAGCTGGCATGGCCAGCAAAACGTAACTTTCAGCCACCAATTAACGTATGTAATACAGCCAAAAACATCATAGTGTGGTGAAATAGTATATTTCGTACCAAGGGCCGAAAATGAGGTTTTGCCGGCTCGAGATAGTTTTTAAGTTCGAGACGAAGTCGAGAACTTAAATCGATCAAGAGCTGCAAAACCATTTCGGTTCGTGGTACGAACGCTATTTTTCACCACACTATAGGTACCCTATTACTACTATTCACCACCATTATAATGCACACTGATAGTCAACACAACTACTGTACAACTTTAAGGTTATGTGAAGAAATAATTTGAGGAATCAGCAAAAATAAAAATAAATAGTTGCTAGGCAACGGTGACAATAACACAATTCTATTGCAATGCTATGGATTTTGATTGTGTATTTAAAATGCATTCATGTTTAAGTAAGTAAGCGGACAGCTGATTTTGCGGCCCCGGCCTGTAAAAACCTGCTCGGTCCCCAATTTACGATGACAGCTGGCATCGCCAGCAAAACGTAACTTTCAGCCACCAATTAACGTATGTAATACAGCCAAAAACATCATAGTGTGGTGAAAATCAATATAATTGACATTCATCGAAGAATTTTTTATATATTGCATTTAATTACATATTTGACTCCATTATTTTGTAAACTTAGATGTTT